AAAAATACAATTAAAAAAAACTCCCAATTTCCAAGCAAATTTTACAATTTTTAAAACATGTTTTTTATGTTAATATACAAAAAACTAAAAGCCGGACATGGGCAAAATGGATTTTTGCAGCCTATTTTCAACAAATGGATCACTATACTGATTTACCCTTTTTTATTAATATTTTTTTCTAACAATTTGTATTTTTGAATTAATTTTTATTTAATATTATTAATTCTAATATTACTTTACTATTTTTAATGAATATCTACATTTTTGTGTTGTAAGCATTGCCGTGTGAATAAAAACAGTTACGCTGAGTCAAGTTTTGAATAATGCTGTAAATAATTCTAACATTTTTTACATTTATATTTACATTTACACATTTAGCACAAGCTTCTATCCAAAGCAATTCATCTCAGAGCCAGCAATATTCAAAATATATAATGCCAGGTTTATTAGAAAGCTAGATGAAATTAGATTAAAATAATTTAAATATCTACAATTAATATTTAATATCTGTTTCTGAATAAAAATGATCACACTGAGTCATTTTTGTATAGTCATTTAAATTTTCATCATTCTAATACTTCTGCTATTACTTTACTATTTCATTAATTAAATTATATACATTTTTATGTACATAAATATATGCGGGTCAAAGACGAAAAAGGGTTTAAGCATAAAAACAATAAGTGTAATACTGCTTTAAATTGTTGTTGTTTTCCCCCAAAAAAACAAAAACAATTCTGTTTAATTTAATTGCAATTTTGTTTTGGTTTTTCTGAGCATTTGTATAGTCATTTAAATTTTCATCATTCTAATACTTCTGCTATTACTTTACTATTTCATTAATTAAATTATATACATTTTTATGTACATAAATATATGCGGGTCAAAGACGAAAAAGGGTTTAAGCATAAAAACAATAAGTGTAATACTGCTTTAAATTGTTGTTGTTTTCCCCCAAAAAAACAAAAACAATTCTGTTTAATTTAATTGCAATTTTGTTTTGGTTTTTCGTTACACTGAATGACAATGTAACATTATTTCAACCAAATTTTGACATTTTATTCTCCAAAAACTTATTTGAAACCTTAAAAGTAGACACTTTACTTACATGTAATGTGCTTTCTATGGACATAAAATCACTTTTGTAAATTTCTTTTGATGAGGACATCTTAATGTCTTTGACCCATGCATTTGTAGTCATGTTTTCAGTCGTGTGTCGTCTGATGTCTCACCACAGTTTTGTTCGTCGCTGTTGTCCCTGCAGTCGTTGTGTCCGTTGCACACGGCCCACAGAGGAACACAGTGGTAGTTTGTCCTGCAGTCAAACTCTGTGTGATTGTCACATCTGTACGCCGGACCCACTGCAAACAACATCCCACAGATGACATACTGCATGGCTTTTTCTTCCTCTAATTTAAACTAATCAAATAACAAAACAAATGCATTGTATCGGTGCAGTAATGAGTGGGCAGCTCACTGCATTCGTCGATGGGCTCGTCGGAGTTGTCGCCACAGTCATCGTCCACGTCACACTTCCAGCTCTGCGGGATGCAGCGGCCGTTCCTGCACTTGAACTGTCCGGGTCTGCAGCTCCTGCTGGAGCAGTGAGTGGGATTCTCGTCGGATCCGTCGCCGCAGTCGTTCTCCCCGTCGCACTGCCAGGCCTCAGAGATGCAGCGCTTATTGGCACACTGCCACTGATGAGACTCACACTGATGCGTGGCTGAAGTGCAGAAGGAGAGGAAGATGCATTTCCGAATACATGGCAACAGTTTAATCAAAAGCAGATGTCAGAATAGCAGGGTTATTATAGTTAACTAAAATAAAACCATTAAAAAAACATGTCACTTAAAGGCAGAGTAAGTGATTTTTCAAAAAAACTTTAGAAAACTGATTCGGGCCGAATAGCAAAACAAACTTGTAGCCAATCAGCAATAAGGGGCGTGTCTACTCGTGATGTGGAGGAGAGCGCGTTCAGTGCATGGGACGGACATTAGCCGAGCGACAGAAAGATAGAGATGGCGGATAAAAAACAAAAGAGGAAAACGTCTGCGGAACGATAAGGCAAAGAAGTAGGACCCGTGTAAATATTGGATCAGCTTTCCAGCGCTGGAGAGAACTCAAGGAGCGGAGGCCTGCGATCGGACGCCGAGGTTGCTTTGTTTCTTCTCAATAGGTGAGTAACACCGTGTCTACAACAACTAAAGTCTGCCTACACTGGACGCGATCAAACGACCGTTGAAAACCATTTGAAATGTGTGTCAGCACGTCATAAATAGAACCCCGCAGCAGTTTTCTGTCGGGGATTTGTTGCGCCGCGCCGCTCACGTCCGATGTAGACACGGTGTAACATTGGTTTTGCTTTGTTTCACAGACCTAATCGTTGCCTGGGTTGCGTACGTATATGTGGGGCGGAGCTATCAAAATAGGGGCAAGACCCTTTTGGGGTAGGGGCGTGTTTGTTTTGGTGATTTCAAATATCAACATTGGCTACCAGAAATCACTTACTCTGCCTTTAAAATAAAATAAACGTTAACTGAAATAAAATAAAATACTTTTTTATTTCAGCTAGTTGCCGAGGCAACATTTTAATTTACGTAACCTGATTTGCTAAAATAACTAAAACAGAAATATAAATGAATAAAAACTATACAGACATATAAAAAAAACAAAAACTACTACAAAAGACAAAAACACAACCAAATCACCAAAACTTAAACGAAAACAAAATGGAAAATATAAAAATAAGAAGTGATTAAAAATATGAATAAAAACTATACTATCTAAAGAATACTTGCAGAATAGCACTGTTGTTATTGTTAATGAAAATTAAGTAAAACTAACAATTTTTTTTTTTAAATCAGTGTTTGATTCTTAAATAAATGTTAAATGTTAGAAATGAAATAAATATATAAATATTACACGGGAAAACTAAAATGAAAAATTTGAAATTAAATATGTTTAAGTTCAAGTATTAAAATGAAAGCTATATAGAAATATTAAAACAATTAAAAATCACTAATATTTAAAATGAACACTAACAAGCTACTTAAAAAAATTAATAAACAATATAATGGCATACAAACGATTTAAAACATCTCAGTTTTTAATGAAATATGAAATGTTTGAATTAAAATATAGATATTAAATAAGATATAAATATTACCATATCAAATTTAAACTTGAAAAACTTAAATGGAAATCAGAAATGTTGCCTCAGTACAAAAAATACAGCTAAAAATAAATTAAAGCTTAAGCAGACAGGTTTTTAAAAAAGACAAAAGCACATTTTCTTAAACAAAAATTAAAATGAAAACTGAAAATACAAAAACTTCAAAATACTTTAATAGTACATAAATAACACTGGCATCATCACTGAAAATTGATCATGAAAGTCTAGTTTTGGCATGTTTTCTATTTAGTAAAAATGCATGTACTGTAAATACTGCTGTTTATAACAACATTTTATTATGGGGTTCAAACCTACAACTTTTCAGCTTCATGCCCAGATTGCAGCAAACCTGCAGATACTGACATGATATATGATATATGATAGTTTTTTTCCATACCACACAGCACAGTGTCCTCGTCAGACCCATCGGGACAGTCCTGATTAGAGTTACACAGGAAGTGTGGGCTGGAGCAGTTTCCGTCATTACACTGGAACTGGCCCAGTCTGCAGTGCCGGACGGGACACGTGGAGGGTTCATCCGACCCATCTCTGCAGTCCCGCTGACCGTCACACTTCCACCAGATAGGGATACAGCTTTAGGAACAGACAAATACAAGGTTCAGTTTCAGTTAGGATGCTTGCTCATAAGGCAGCTGTCTATGTAGGTAGTATACAGCAGGCTTTGGAACAGAGTGTGCATGGAGACACTAACCGTTCATTGTCTGCACATCTGTACTGTGTGCTGGAGCACATGGGCAGGCAGCGTGCGACGCCCCCTATCTGCACGGTAAGGAAGTGATCAGGACACTCGCAGGTGAAACCCTGACCTCCGGCTCGCAGAAGACACAGGTGAGAACAGCCTCCGTTATTGACCTCGCAGGGATTCGTCACTACAGGAGCAAGATATAGTGTGAGTGAGACTAGTGAGTCACAAACAAACCAACAAAAAAGTTTCAGGTCTGTTCTGAATCTGTCCTGAATTATGGACACATAAATGCAAATAATAAAATGCAACTAATCATAATCATATCATAACTATAAACTTAAAAAGTAATAGATGACTAAGAATATTTTGAATATTTATTTTAATTCAAACACTGAATACATTTCTCGGGAATTCGTTTATTGTTTGCAATAAAAAAAATCAATGTATATTTATATGTAATTGTAAAATTGTTCTATATTACTCTTATAAAAGTTAATTTAAAATAAATCTAAAATCTAACTTCAAAATGTATTCAAGGTTTTTTTTTTTTTTCAATTATTGCCTATTATTAGTATTATAAGTATAAAACATAAATAAGTATAAAACATAAGAATAATAAATAAATAATAAATAACTAAACATCATAATAATAATTCTAAGAATATTACAAATTAATATTTATTTTAATTTCGCACATTTTCAGGTCTGTTCTGAATCTGTCCTGAATTATGGACACATAAATGCAAATAATAAAATGCAACTAATCATAATCATATCATAACTATAAACTTAAAAAGTAATAGATGACTAAGAATATTTTGAATATTTATTTTAATTCAAACACTGAATACATTTCTCGGGAATTCGTTTATTGTTTGCAATAAAAAAAAATCAATGTATATTTATATGTAATTGTAAGATTGTTCTATATTACTCTTATAAAAGTTAATTTAAAATAAATCTAAAATCTAACTTCAAAATTTATTCAATGTTTTTTTTTTTCCAATTATTGCCTATTATTAGTATTATAAGTATAAAACATAAGAATAATAAATAAATGCTAAAATAATTTTAAATAATAAATAACTAAACATCATGATAATAATTCTAAGAATATTATAAATTAATATTTATTTTAATTTCGCACATTAAATTCCACTGTTTGGTTTTAAGGACATTTTATTGAATTATTTATGATATTAACAGAAAATAATAAAAAAGAATAACCTAATATTAATTTCAATTTTAAACATTGAAAATATTTCAGTGTTTGAAGGAAAAGTTCAATGTTTGGGATGCATCCAGAGTTAGCAATTAAAATAAATATTATTTAATATTTTTTATAATTTTATGATTATTCTCTATTATTTGAACAAAAGTAAATAAAATGCCCTTAAAATCAAACACTGAAGTTTATTTAATGTTTAAAATGTATTCAATGTTTGAAATTAAAATAATAATAACAATTATTATATTATAAATTCCGATTTCAACACTTTTTAATGAATAATAGGGGCAATCTTTAGTAAATCGTTCTTATAATCAAAAACAGAAACATTATAAGAATAATAAATAAATGCATAAATACAAAAAATAAGTAAGCATATAATCACAGGAATAAGTGTAAGAATATTATAAATTAATATTTATTCTAACTTCATACAGATTTAGTTTTTAATTTCAGATTTCAATGTTAAAATCTAAGACCATTTAACGTTTTTGCAAATAATAGAGAAAAATATTAAGAAAATTATAAATTAATATTTATTTGATTTCAAATATTGAATAAAATTCATACATTACATTTAGGACAGCTTTATTTACTTTGATATGATAAACGTGCGGTATTGAATTGAGTCGTTCTTGTTGCTCAGTGTAAATTGTGTAGTCAGTTGAAAACCACTGAGTCAGACTATATCCTCTTACAAAGAACCAGGATGTGGCTCCACAACATGTAGCTGTAGCTCCTCTTTCTAAAGAAAGCCACAGATAAAGAGTTTCAACTACCTGTCCTGGCCATTACAGCAATGATAAAGAGTTTAGTCTTTCCTGTGTCCGAGAAAGGACAGACTGTGTAAATATTGGCAGAGACCCTTAAGTGCCTCAGTGGACGTTTAAAGGAAGTGATAGCGATCTGATGTGAGATAATGAGCGTCCCGCTCGGGTTACGCTGTCCTGGGCTCACCTATGGGCTGGCGGTAGGGATGGCACACGTGGATGTCGAACGGTCGGTGGGTGGTGTTGACGAGCACTTCCCGTCCAGAGCCGTTGTATTTGTTGCCCTTCTCCACCGTGCGCGTGTTCCAGTCCGTCCAGTACACGCTTTCCTCGAACACCGTGATGGCGAAAGGATGCGGCAGGATACCGTCGTACACAGTGTGCCTGTGATTCCCGTCCAGATCAGAGAATCTGAGGAGACAGAACCATCTTAATAATGTTTAACATGTTCATTTTGTGCAAAAAATAATGCATAATTTAGTCAAGACACAGCATCTTAAAAATGGTAAAAACAATGTTGAAAAACCGTTTGAATGATGCACGACCAAATCTTCATTTGTGGGATTTGTCAGCATATAATGATAAATGTGATTAATTTAATCAAATTGATACATTTATTGACATATCATATTTAATGTAGAGAAAGATAAATGTGACCATGGACCACAAAACCAGTCATAAGGGTCCATTTTCATCATCTGAAAGCTGAATAAATAAGCTTTCCATTGATGTATGGTTTGTTAGGATAGGACAATATTTGGCC